GTTACTCACATCTACCTATGTAATAAAATGATATATAACTACATACAAACAATGTATTAATGCAAATTTCTGTACATATAAGATTATAACTTGGGGGGACTAAGTGAGGAGCATGACTTCTTGTAAATCTATGATCTCAAATTAAAAAAAAAAATAAAAACTTGGGAGGCAGAGGCAGGTGGATCTCAGTGAGTTCCAGGCCAGCTGGGGCTATAGTGTCTCAAAAAGACAGAAAAAAAAAAAAAAAATCAAACTACCAAATTGAAATCAAGCCCCCAAAGTGTGATGTGGACTTATTTAATGAATATGTGTATTGGTTTAGTTATCTATAAAATTAGAACAGGTAGGTAGGGCACCCCCACTGCCTCCCAGCCTAGCTTCCTGCCAGGCTACCATGGCAACCAGGAAGGCAGGCGCAACTGGAGATGTGTGCTGCTCCAAGTGCCAGTGGGAGTGGACTCCCGAGCTCTCCAAGCATCTTGTCGACCAGGCTCATCACCAACAATGACATGACTGAATTTCTCAGGGAGTCGAAGCTAGAGCAGCACTTGAAGGAGAAGCCCCTGCGGCAGGGACCCAGTCGACCCCAGGCACAGCTGACCCAAGTACTCAAGCATTTGACTGCTGCCATGGACCCAAGGAACCTCAAGTCAGAATTCCTGTAAGAATCCAATCTGATCATAGCCAAGTTGAAGCTGTGGATGATTGTGGAAGCCTACTACACTACCAAAGGTGGAGGGTTGGTGGAGGAGAGTCTTGAAGAGGACTCTGCCCTTGTGCATTTATAACATGGTTCCTCAAAGACTGCACAAGTTGACAGCCATATGGATGATAACGGTGGTGGCGGCTGCTGCTGATGCTGCTTGTGCTAACCAACTTGAGTGACTCGAGAGGCCTTCATGGGCTTCTCCAGCATGGCCAGGGCACCCGGCAGACTGCTCAGCAACCAAGAAATAAGTGGGGATCTGCACAGCCCACAGGAGCAAAATCCAGGAGCCTGGCCATCCTGGGCCCATCCCCTCCATCCTGAGGATTATATCTGAAAGATTTTAAGCAGAGGAGCAAAATTTTATCCAGTCAAATGAAGTAGCTTTGTTCCAGGGGATTCAGTGCCCTCTTCTGACCATCACAGGCACTGCAGGACATGAGTGTATTTACATACAAGCAGAGAGAAACGTTGTTTGAGAGCCTGAGAACCTAAGGAAAGAAAGAAAACTAGAACTATGGTGGTACCCTCCTGTGAGCTGGAGCTGTGGTCCTCTCCTGTGAGCTGGTGTGTTCTCTTCTGATATCTGGAGCCTTGGTTCTTCCTGTGAGCTGAAGCTGTGGTTCACCCTGTGAGCTAGAGCTGTGGTCCTCCCCTGTGGGCTGGAGCTGTGATCCCTCCCGTGAGCTGGAGTTGTGGTCCTGTGAGCTGGAGCTGTGGTCCCCTCCTGTGAGCTGGAGTCATGGTTATCTCCTGTGAGCTGGAGCTGTGGTCCCCTCCTGTGAGCTAGAACTGTGGTCCCCTCCTGTGAGCTGGAACTATGGTCCCCTCCTGTGAGCTGGAGCTATGAGCTCAACCTGTCTGTGGTCCTCTCCTGTGAGCTGGAGCTCTGGTTCTTCCTATAAGTGGGAATTGTGGCTCCCCTCATGTGAGCTGGAGCTGTAGTCCTCTCCTGCGAGCTGGAGTTGTGGTTCCCTCCTGTGAGCAGGAGCTGTGGTCCCCTTCAGTGAGCTGGAGCAGTGGTCCCTCTCCTGTGAGCTGGAGGTATGGTTCGCTCCTGTGAACTGGAGTTGTGGTTTCCTCCCATGAGCTGGAGCTGTGGTCCCCTCCTGTAAGCTGGAGCTGGGGACCCATCCTGTAAGCTGGCGCTGGGGACCCCTCGTATGAGCTCGAGCTGTGGTCCTTTCCTGTGAATTGAAGTCATGGTCCTCTCCTGTGAGCTAGAGCTCTGGGTCTTCCTATGAGCTGGAGCTGCGGTTCCCCTCATGTGAGCTGTAGTTGTGGTCCTCTCCTGTGAGCTGGAGCTGTAGTCCCCTCCTGTGAGCTGGAGCTGTAGACCCCGCCTGTGAACTGGAGTTGTGGTCCTCTCCTGTGAGATGGAGCTATGGTCCTCTCCTGTGAGCTGGAGCAGTAGACCCCTCTCCTGTGAACTGGAGTTGTAGTCCTCTCCTGTGATCTGGAGCTGGAGCTGTGGTCCCCTCCTGTGAGATGAAACTGTAGTACCCTCATAATAATATGGACTCCCAGTCCCAGGAGGGATGATCGGAATGGACTGTGCTGGATCAGGTTCTCACCCACTGTTGAAAATTAATGCATCTTTCAGCTCTCACCGGAGACATTTCCTTATACAGCAGATGGTGATTGACACAGAAACTTACGGCTTCTCTAATGTGCGGGGAGGAAGGGGCTACAGAGCACTTATCTCTGGGTGGGACGCCTCTGTCAGGCTTCTGGAGCTCAGGGCTTAGGAATCATTGTAGAGGAGGAGGTGAAAAGATTGTAAGAGCCAGAGGTGGTGGATGACCATGGGGAGGCAGAGTTCTCCAAACAGCTGGTCAGTTACCCATATGAACTCACAGCAATGGTGAGAGCATGAACAAGTCCTATGCAAACTCCAGTGGATGAACCCATGCTGGAGAACATTTGGGGATTCAAGTTAGACTCTACAGGCTTTATTATCCAGAGAGTACATTGAATTAAGCAGGGGCAGGGGGGATGTAGGGAGGTGTGGATGGGAGAGGGGATACAAATGTCATCAAATTATATTGTATGGAAATCACAAAAATTCAATAAAAATGCTAAAAAAAATTAGGACAACAGTATCTGCCAAGTTATGGCAAAAAAAAATAGAAAAAGAATAAAGAATA